TACTATATATATATATATATATATATATATATATATATATATATATATATCGACATTGAGACACAATCTCACCGTAATACGCTGCCCATTATTGGTAGTCGTGAGCTCCGACTGAGACGTCTGTACCGAGTTCAACGCGGTCGTAAGCTGATCAGGCCTGAGCTCTTTGCCATAAGCCACTTGGCCGTTTCCCTGCGTCTCCTTCGTGGGTGATCGACACGGCGTCCGCAAGCTCTGCGGCAGCAATTCGACAAGATTGGTCGAGTGCGGCTGGTATCGCAGTATTAGCACGCACGTGGATACCAAGGTGTATGCCAACAGAGTACCTACAGCGTGAACGAGAATCTAACTTAGCTTTTATCGTGCTGTTTTTTCGTGCTATTTTATTTTGTAACTCTTCGATTCGCAGTGCAGCGACCTTAAAACTTCTATTTAAGGACGAATACGGAATATGCATGAAAAAATATCCTAATAGGCAATTTGGGACATTTGGAAATTGAAAGCGCAATCTGCGTAAGACGTACGAATGAAATTATATTAAAATTTATTCAAATGAGAAGAGCTAATCATCTGCATTTTATTCCAATATTTTACGATAGGATATTTACGATTTACGAGGAAGTACTTTCATATCTGTGCTTTTCAAAATAACTTTGTTATTTAAAGTCTTTTGATATTATTTATATCATTAGATATTATATATTGATTCATTAAGTCAGCCAAGTAACTCCTATGCGCTTTTCTGTTTTAAATTCTTATATAATCTCGGTTTCTAATTAAAATTTTTAGAGATTATAACGAGTATTTAGAGGTAAAAAGAGTTGCTCTTTCCGAAAATCTAATCAGCGGTGAGATGTCTGGAAAAAAGATATGAGAGTTGAGAGTGGAAGTAAAAGCAAAAATAAGTGATCTCTTTTTACTGACAACTTTTCAGCATAAATGATTTCGTCTGCTTTTCCAACTAGAAAGAATTAATATAATTATCAATTGAGTATGATAAAAATTTTGTTTATTTAAAAGGATGTGATGAATAAAAGGGAGAAAAACGAAGTGAAATTCATCTTTTCTACTTTTCAAAATTTTTTTAACATTGAAATGCATGAAGAAGAGAAGCAAAGTTTTTTTTACAATTTTATTCTATTTTATCTTCTTTCATTCCTTTCAAACCTTATAAGAGTAGATGGTGAAACAAACTTTAGTCAATATCTTTGTGATATCAAAATATAGGAAGATAAAACCTTTTTACAATTTTATTTTTACATTTTATTTTCTTTTACTCCTTTTCATTTCATAAAAATCTATAATTTTTATTATAAAACACTTACATAAATGATAAATACGGTTTGTACTCAAAAATTAATGACTTATTTAATAATTAAATATTTGTCAATAAAAAGACAGAATCATTTATTTTCTTTATATCTTTTTTTCAATTATATTTTCTCATTGTCAACTAGATTTTCGAAAAATTATTTTTACCCCTAAATATCAATCGTTATTTAAAGATTTTAATTATAACTTGAATTATAAGAATTTAAAACATAAAAAATGTGAAAAAATGATCTGAGACTTTTAATGGATCAAAGGAATAAAAATTTCCCTTTAAAAATTATGCATTTCTATTACGGATAATTAAAAAGATGCTTATCAATTTATTTTTCAAACAGATAGTAATAACTTAAATGTAGCGGTATTATTAACAATTGTTTCTTTGAATAAAATCAATAATCAGCGTGACAAAATTAACACGTAAAAGTTGCATATTCACTCTGGTCCTCTTCAAAAATCCGTTTCACGTGATACTAATCCGCCGGAAATCCGCCCTATATAGATAACGTCTTACCGATCGACATCATCTCTACCAACACTTCCAACTGAATCAACAGCGCAGCAAAAGCTGCACACATGCCGGAGGTTAGAGTCGCAATTGCGGGAGTGCCAGTCGCCGGCCAAACTTGACTGAGGCTCCTGGGGAAAGTGAAACACGCGCGTTAAGCTCTATCATAGCAAAATCATATCTTCGTCAGCCATTCTTAAATACAATGGCCACAACCGCTCGTCACAGTGATTCGGCATTTTGCCCCGCGTCCATTACCGAAATATAAGGCCATCCTGAGCCATCGCGTAGACTATTCTAGGCATCGGAAACATGCTGCCGAACATGGAGACCGTCAGGCCCGCCAGCGCACCGACCGCGACGATGTACTTGCACTTGTAGGCCCCGACTTGGCCGAACATCTCCACCAGCGCCGAGTCCTGATCGACCTGATCGTACGGAACTGAAACACAAAGTACATGCGAATACATGCTGGGAAAGTTGCGACAACGGACCATCTTTCATTCCGCGAGATACATAAATTTAAGCTTCACACTACAAGCTTCACTCGACAATCAATGTGCCAATAGTAATTTTAGACGGCGCAGAACGGAAATGTGTATGCAATAATGGTGTATGCAATAATCGTAATAAGTTTCCGTTCAAAGAGTTTCGACAACTCTCATTTGCATCACGAACGAGTCGCGTAATGATTTTATTCCCCCATTATTTTGCGAAAAATTGTTGCAGTTAAAGTCGCAGTTGAAATCGACTCCAGAATACAGGATGAAAGGGACCCTCGATTAGCCGATACCAAAAGCGGTCAACGAGGCACGTAGTTCTAAAGCCGCTTCCATCCGTATTCCGTGTCAACAGTTATTCGAGTTTCGCGAGCAAACGCGACAACGAGTAGCGGCGAAGCTAAAAAGAACGGGCACATCACCATATCCTCCGTGGCCGCCTGGGTCTGGGAGGGGTGAGAAAGCGCGCGCGTTTCCGTTTAATGAAGGGCCAACAAACGACCGGCGGCTCATTGTTTAACGGTCTACTCACCAATCAGTGTCAAGACCATGCTGCTCGTCACGTAAGCAACGAGAATTATGATCAATGACGAGACAATGGCGAGGGGTATGCTCTTCTTCGGATTCGTCGCCTCTTCACCGGTGGTGGCTATTATGTCGAAGCCAATGAAGGCGTAGAAGCACGTCGCCGCGCCGGTGAAAACCTGGCGGGGAAGAGAAATTCGATTTTTTTTTTTTTTATTTGTATTAAATAGAGTGAAATCACGCAATATCGATCGGAAGTGAATTCAACTGCTGCGATGGAAAATGATCGGACAACGAAACAAAATGAAACAAAAGTAAGATATCTGACGAAAGATTCGAAATAAAAAAACCGAAAAAACAGAGCTGGTCCTTCAGATAAACATCATAGCGCTTTTATTAAATTGTAGAAGTT